TCTCATTCAAACATGTAGTGATTTCCTTGCTGTCTTACTTATCATCGAAGACAAAAACTTCAGAGCTTGTCATATGGAAGTGGAAACAGGTGAACTCATACTGGTGAGTCAAGACGAACCAGTTTGAACACTGAAAACATGACAGGACGAGGATTTGAACCTAGTCCTTCACAATGAGTTCACCTGTTTCTCATTTCCACATGGCAAGCTATTAAGTGTTGTCCTGCCATGATTTCAGCTTTTTGTCTGAGTCACAAAAGTCATGTTGGTCAGTTCAGTTCAGTTGGCTGGCTGCATCTGTTCAAGTTTCATATTTTGTGTGTTCATGTGATTGGCCAGACTTGAAGCAGAAATTGTTTTGAATATGATATAACCTGCTTAATGCACTGGAAACATGAGTTTGTCCATGAAAAATAACCACCTCATTGTGCTGCCTCCGCATTTTTTCTGCTTATGTAAGCAGACCCACCTCGAGCAATGATTGATTTTTTCAACCTTCATATGACTTGCTTGGCTTCAAATAGACGTTTCACTTGGGGGTATTGAGCCCTCTGAACACGATGGTAATGCCCTTTTCATTCAAAAAAATCACATTTAAAAGTTATGAATGTCTGTAATGCTGTGTTGCTAACAGTACCAACTATTTTCGCTTTTTGACTTGGTGATTCTTGGGGCATTTGAGGTTGGTTGCCACCCCTCCATGAGGGTCAAACTGTTGTTAACAGTAACAACTATTTTCGCTTCTGGGGGTATTTTTGGTTGGTTGCCACCCCTTCATGAGGGTCAAACTGTTGCTAATAGTACCAACTATTTTCGCTTCTGAGGGCTTTTTGACTTGGTGATTCTGGAGGCATGTTTGGTTGGTTGCCACTCCTCCATGAGGGTCAAACTGTTGCTAACAGTACCAACTATTTTCGCTTCTGGGGGCTTTTTGATTTGGTGATTCTGGGGGCATTTGAGGTTGGTTGCCACCCCTTCATGGGGGTCAAACTATTGCCAACAGTACCAATATATCACTCGCATGGCTCGATCTCAGGCTCATTATGAAGGTAATTGATCCATATATATAGAGCAGCAACAGAAATACTTGATCTTGCAAAGTCTTGGTATAAGTGAGTCCAAGTCCACCGCTTTTGCTTATGTAAGCTGTGTCACCCCTGTCATGCTGCCTCACTCAATGATTGATTTTTTCAGCCTTCGTGTGACTTGTCTGGCTTCATGTTGAACTTGATCTAGAGGTTATTGACCAATCTGAATGAGATGGAAATGCGAATTTGATCTGAAAAAATCAGGTTTGAGAGTCATGCTACCCCCTCCCCCCACCTACTTCACCAAGAGGCATGACTTCATGTCAATAATGATGTGAAAAGGATGTTCCCAGTATTTAAGGATCATATTAATAGATTGGAGATGGCTTCATAGTGTTCTGAACCAATATGGAATGTGATGTGCAAGTTTGCCTGATACCCCCCTCAAAGATCGATTTTTCTAGGCTTCCCATGTCTTGCTAGGACTCCACAAGTATGTTTCCTGGGGGTTCTTGATGCCTCTGAACACGATGGTAAAGCTAGTTTTGTCAGGAAAAATCAGGTTGTTGAGATATGCAGGGTCCCCCTCCCCCCCCAAACTCATATATCTTGATATTATGTAAATACCGGTATATAAAGAGATGTTCCTACTGTTTTATTATCATATAAATCGATTGGAAATGGTCCCAGAGTGATTTGAGTCCATCCTAATTAACATATGGGAGTTTTCCTGATACCCCCCTCAAAGGTCGATTTTTCTAGGCTTCCCATGACTTGCTTGTCCTCTAAAAGTATTTTTCCGGAGTGCTCCTGATGTCCCTAAACACGATGGTCAAGCCCGTCTTGTCAGGAAAAATCAGGTTGTTGAGATATAGAAGGTCCTCCTCCCCCCTCCTACCTCATATATCTTACTATGGTCACTTTTAGCTCAAAACCGATACTGTAAATAATGGTCCTGGTGCTTTTAAGACGTAGAAATCGATTGGTGATAATCCCAGGGTCTCTGGAGGTCGAGAATATTGAGTTTGGTCACAGGTATGAAAAAGTCAGTATTTGGACTTTATCTCCACATCCCAACCGCCGTTTTCTTTCATTCTGGGCTCATATTGATCCTTGGGAATCCCTCTAACATATGTACCAGCCCAAGAAGAGAAAAAAGTTTTGAACTTTGTAACCTATTTCTGTTTTGACCATATAAGTGTGGTCTGTTTTTACCTCTCACAGTGTAAAGACTGAGTCTATAGCTCTCTGTAGACTATATGATGTTTTCTCGAGCTGACAGTTGGTAACAATGAGCATGAACTTTTGATAATCATGTGTTTCAAATACACAAAATTTTGGACTATATTTAATGTTACATGTCATACATATATATAATATATATAATAGCAAAAGAAACGAGAAAAAAGTATGAATATTTGAGAGAATTGTTGGGCTCATCGTTGCTGACGACGAGCACAGAGGTGACGGACACTGCCGAATCTAGGCTAACAAAGATAACACTACCCCTGGGTTATGGCATCCTTATAAAGTAAGGATTATGTGAGGTTGAGGTGGCTGGAACCGGCAACACTACTTGTGGTTGACCGCACTTTTGCTTATATAAGCTGTGCCAAACAAAGCCACATCACAAGACTTAGTGAATTTTGACTTGGTGAATTTTCGCATTTTGCTTACTTGACCGTGGGAACATTTTCCGATAAAAATCAAAGTCATAGCCCTTGTCAAGGAAAGTCTATCCATAGTCTTATGACATCAATAGGTCAAGATCTTAGTGAGTTATAAGCAAAATACTCGAAAGTGAACAGTTCAAGAAAGCAGCTTGACCATGGGAACATTTTCCGATGAAAGTCAAAGTTATAACCCTTGTCAAGAAAAGTCTATCCATAGTCTTGTGACATCAATAGGTCAAGAGAGCGCTCTTGCAAAAAAGGGGGGCGCTCAAACCATAAAGCCCCTGAAGCGCCAGAGCGCTCTTGAAAAAAGGGGGAGCGCCCAAACCATAAAGCCCCTGAAGCGCCAGAGCGCTCTTGAAAAAAGGGGGAGCGCCCAAACCATAAAACCCCTGAAGTGCCAGAGCGCTCTTGAAAAAAGGGGGAGCGCCCAAACCATAAAACCCCTGAAGCGCCAGAGCGCTCTTGACAAAAGGGGGAGCGCCCAAACCATAAAACCCCTGAAGCGCCAGAGCGCTCTTGACAAAAGGGGAGTGCCCAAACCATAAAACCCCTGAAGCGCCAGAGCGCTCTTAACAAAAAGGGGAGCGCCTTAAAAAGCGATGAAGCACCCAAAGGAGTAGGCATAATCAGGCAGGCACAAGAGCACCACGAGAGGAAGTGGCCAAACCCTGAGACATCTCGACTTAAAAAAAAAGCGCCAAAAAGCGCCGAGGGCGCCCCACCCAAAGGGGATGGAGGCGTGAGAATGCCGCATGAGGAGCAGGCCCTGGCCCCCCCTGGGTTGTGAAGAAAAAAGGGGGGGCGCCGAAAAAGCGCCGGGGCGCCCAAGCGAGGGGCCCGCTTCCCACGGCGAAAATATTAGGCTTTGAAGGACGAGTACTCAGCAGGTGCTCAGCGCTCATCTGGTAGCTGCTGTGGTATTGCCGACATGCTGTAGTTCACATGATGATTGCGGCAAGACATCTAATAAGTATCTCCGACATCAAATTCGTGAGGCCTTACTACTACTAACTCGACCACAGCAGGAAACACCTGATTTTGGGCTTTCGTATTGTCAACATTACTTTTCACTGTCATTTGACGTTCGTCTATTGATTTTTCACTTTCACTCATATGTTCATGATGTGTACTGCACAGCTCTTCGGTTAGGACTTAGATTTGTCCGGCAAACCCTCAACCAAAGACGGTGCGAAGCGTTCTTCCGCGCTGATCGTCGACTGACCGAAGCTGTCGAATCTCATCATTTCATGATATATATGCTTGACGAAGATATGAAGAGCAGCTGCCTCGACTGGTCTACCTCGGGTAACCGGTGAGTTCGCATCTCTGACAACCTCAACATCGAAACTCATTCTAGTATCGATGAGCCTTCAAGCAAGACTGCAGTGTTGTGTTGCAAAAGGAGCCGCGAGCAATCGCGAGGTGACTATTTGGCTGCGATCGGGTCGGATCCTTTATGCGATTCCCTTATCGCGCACCTCAGTAAGGCCAATTTAGCACGAAACCTCTATCCAGAGGCCCTTGCTTATGCCGACACGGTGCAGACAATATCCATATCGTGGGTTCAAATTGAATCATGCAGCACTTCACGGGGCTCAACTCTAATAGAACAATCGAAATTCTCAAAATCATGCTCGCCAAATATGCTCCCGACCCACAGATACGAAGTCCCACTTGACAGAAATCCTTACTCATTCGTCCGTAGGATCGTCATGATCTTGACTGCCTGGTCACAGTCGAATCCTTGCCAGAGTCTACGCTGGACGAATCACTTGGCAGGCATACTGGAGAAGATGGATCTCTTGATACGGACTCTCATTCGTGAGAGTCGATGTTGATCGTTCGCCCTGGACGGCCTTTCCGTGCACTTCTCCTAGCAAAGCAGCATGGTGGGGAATACAAGAGTATCGTATCGGATCACAAGATTATGCCACGGGACGAAGACATGACTTCTATTGATGATCTGGTGATCTTCAGGATGCTAGAGACATCGTAGTTGGGTGTATTTCGGAGAACGGACCATACTGATCTTTTTTGTTCATGTTTTGACAGTACTACCTGTAACTCACGACAGTAATCAAACCACAATGATTGTATATCCGAATCATCGCTGAGAGCACCGGTCATAGCGCGTCCTCGTCAATCATCATTAACAGTAATTGCTTCCAACTGGTTTTCACTGTGCTCACGGACAAGTACTGTTTTGTGTCAATGTACTGTCGACCGCGTATGAGCACAGTGTACTTTGTATTTTCCCCATCCTAAGTTACTGTAAGCACGCCGAGTTCTTCAAACCCCGGACTGGCTTGCTGTGGTTGACATCCCACACTCTTACTGTCCTGTCCCGGAATCCGCTCACCAATCATCATCTACGCTCCAGCATAGTGACACGCATAACTTGAGTGCGTTCTGTTCATTTTTGTGACGAGCCATCAACCAGTTAGAACTAACAGTCAAAAAAAGTAGGTACCGATTATTGTAAAAACGTCTATTTGTATGAAACATTGCAGCTGTTATCTGGTACAGTACACACCATAACATATAGTCTATCAGCGGTCGCAGTCACAGATGATTCCGATTTGTTGCCCCAGAATAGTCACCTAATTACCTCCTCTCCTCAAATGGATTTTCCGTGTATTCCAACTCATCGTCGCTATCGTCTCTGTGTGTAGGTTGGGGCTGTTCCCGAAGGAGTGATACAGGTCGTTTGGGCAGAAGTCCAAATTTAGCTAACGTGAGATGAAATTAGAGGCGCAAAGCAGCGGGAGGAAAGAACACGACTGACTGGCATCTATTCCACTCGGGGTACCAACGCCCGTGGACGGCGGCCTTGGGGTGTCACCTGACCGCCGAGCAAGTTCGGGAGGAGGGGACGCGCCCATGCCTGTGTTCGGCGGGGAATATGTCGATGACCCTGCATAGGTCGGGCTATTGCTTGCAACGGACGCAGAGTTCGGTACAGTCTGAGTGACGAAGTTCGGAGGAGCATATGTCGCGCTTGGAGCGAGAGTAGGAACGGAGCTCGTCCTTGGATTTGAGTTGCCTCCACCGGGACGGGGAGGAGATTGCCACCCGCTTCCACGAATTCCACTTTCGCCCGGTGGATTGGGGTCATAGTAGGATTCCTGGTGCTGCGTGGGTTGTATACCGCCCCATGAAGGTTGAGATGTCTGACCCCACGTAGGTTGTGTATCTTGTCTGTAACGAAGACCCATTAGATATTTCGCGTAAACAAAGAAGCGAATGTCAATGGAAGTGGCGTTATCGTTTAATGAAACAACCTTTGGTGACAGACGTAAAGGGATGCGTACCTGGAAGCTCCCTGGCCCTGATCGTATTCCTGTATCTTCGCCTTGACTTTTGAAACAATTGAAGAGAATGTCTTCTTGCCAGCTGGTGGTTTCCGAAGTCAGTTACTGACTATGGTACGAGAATTTAAATACGTACTTTCTGCTATCTTGTTGAAACCATCTTGAAATTCTGCCATAGTGTCCCGTTGCGGTGGAGCAACCGCCTGCGCCATACTGTCATACCTTCCGGTTTCATTTCCACCTCCCCGGTCCCGACTAGCAGACCACCTCGACTGATAGGGTTGGAGCCCTTGTCCCTGCTGCGGAGGGTGCCACTGATTCTGTGCAGCTTGCTCTTCCTCGAGCATGAGACGTCGAGCGAGTTGCTCGTCTAGATCAGTCTGAGTAGGCTCACGCTGCTCCGGCGGCGGTGCCGGCTGGGAGACGTAATCAGGATCGCTCATCCCCAACAGTGTGTCAATTGCCATATCCTGGTCACCGTTGACACTTTGGAGTACAGATGATCTGCACATCATTCAGCACATTTGACTTGACAGAACACTGTCTACACACAGTAGAGAGTCGTCGAAATCTGGGAACATTGCGTGCAGGCTCGCGATGCGTGGATCCACGTCAGCATCAAGAGGACGCTGCGGAAGGCTCGGGGTGTCTTCGGCCTGAGTAATAGCAGGAGGTTGGGGCGAAAGAGTAATCATTTCGCCAGCTTCTGGTGATTGGGGCGGCAAAGGCGCTACTTCAAAGACAGGCGGGGTAAATTGTTGGTTATCGTATATTCCTGGTGGTGAAGAAGGAAACTGATGCGAGTCCTCTGATTCTGAAGGCTGTGGTGAGGAGGCAGGGTTTGCTATATCTGGCGTGTCAGTATTTGGATATAGCAGATATATGATCAAAGTTGCTCACCTCGAGGCTGGCCATCGGTAACTAGGCCCTCATTTGTTTGGGTCATCGTTGGAAGAACGTCTGTACATGTGATCTTGGAGTCGCTTTTATAGGATGAGAGTCTGTTGCGGAGTAGGCCGCAGCAGTCATACGCTGTCACAATATAATACGTAGCCGCTGACCAAATATAGTGATGTGCCGGCGCTGGCTTAATTATCCACAGGCCAGGCCTAGCACTGGGCTCACCCACCATCATATGCACTTGAAATTGACTTTCACAGAGTTTTTGAAACATGGATGATTTTGTTGCTTGGTTTCAACACAATGGTGGGGTCTTGGATACTTCGATGATGGCCATCACCGATTTTCCTGGCAGTGGACGTGGTGCGGTCGCACTCCAGGATATACCTGTTCGTCTCCTTCAAAAAAATTTCGTCCAAATTGATTGCTCACATGTTTCTCAGGAAAACCATACAATTTTCACGCTTCCTCGTTCATTAACACTTTCAACTCAGACCTCGAGCCTTCCTTCTGCATTCGGTTTTGAAGAATGGAGAAAGCACAAATTGCACAAGGGTTGGGCTGGGCTGATTCTTTGTATGATGTGGGAGGAAGCTCAAGGAAACCAAGGAAAGTGGATTACATATCTCGGTAGGTCTTTCCAAACGACCGCTTGTCAGTTTTTTCTCTCAACTCAAGATACAGCGTCGCTCCCGACGCAATTCGATACCCCAATATTCTGGAGTGACGAAGAACTGCAAGAGCTCCAAGGGACGGCTGTGGTAGGTCTGTCGTCATTTTTTATATATTTCTCGTCGCATTCTCGTTTATGAAAGTGGACGCACTTGGCTGACAGTGGTGAAATCTAGACAAGATAGGTCGGGATGAGGCTGAACGCGACTATCACGAGAAGCTAACTCCGGCGATCAAGGTAGGTCTATTTTTTGACTTTTCCCACTCGGACTCGAATACTGGACGAATTAGACTCGACCGGATCTTTTCCTCTCCGATCAAATCGATACATGGTACACACTTCATCAGTACCATATTACAGGCAGCCGAATTCTATCTCGAAGCTTCAATGTAGAGAGGTGGGAAGGTGGAATTGAGCAGGATGCCGAACATGTCACAGAAGAAGACAGTAACGAGGACACCCAGGCCAACACGAGTGTTGGGAGCGCAATGGATGTTGACGATTCAGCAGATGGTGGGGCAGCTGTGGACGAAGAGAGCAGTGACAGAGATAGTGATGATGAGGAGATAGAGGATACATCGGATATTGCAATGGTGCCTATGGCTGATATTCTGAATGCTCGATATGACTCTGTCAATGTAAGTCATGTGGACATCAAATTCTTCTGTCGCAGTTGTACCTGCATGACATTCATACGGCTCTTCACAGGCGAAACTTTTCTACGAGAAGCACCATCTTCAAATGGTCACCACGAAGCCCATCAAAGCTGGAGAACAAATAGTAAGTCGGTCCGCACCAAGTGATTATGTTGGTTTACATACATTCAAGTTCAATACATACGGCGACCTGCCCAACTCAGACCTGCTCCGGCGCTACGGACATGTTGATATTGTGCCTTGTCCCCATCTAAAGGGTTCGCTTGGAAATCCACAAGACGTCGTGGAAATACGAGCAGACCTTGTTGTCAACGTTGTTTGTGGTGATCTATCTACTGGCGAGACATATCGGCGACGGATCGACTGGTGGCTCGACGAAGGGGGCGATGAGTATGGCACTTGCTTACTTTTTTCTCTTCCTGTACTCAAGCACATTATCCAGCGTTTTCATTATCGACGCAGACCCAGTTCTCCCTGCAGCGCTAACATCTTTCGTAAGACTTCTCCTTCTCACCCAAGAAGAATGGGAAAAAACACGGGAGAAAGGGCGTTTCCCGAAAGCCAAGTTTGATTACCAAGTCTCTCCGTTATTACGAAGGATATTCGAGATGCGCTTGACTAGTTATCAATCGCCAGATCTTGAAGTATGTTCATTCAATTATAGTCCCGCTCGGGGATCGGTGACACGGAAATTATTCCTCATTTTAGGTTGACGCAAAGCTTCTTGCATCCGAATCACTCACGCTCAACAAGAGACATGCCATCGTAGTGCGGCTCGGGGAGAAGCAGATTCTAGCAGGCGCACTTGAAACCCTGCGCTTCATGGATGCGGCCTTGAGTGACGTCGGGAGTAATGGATCTAAAGGCAAGAGGCGTGTTGCAAGTGGGGGTACGACGGGTGGAGGAAAATCGAAAAAGGCCAGGCATTGACCCTAAGAAGGCCTATGCACGGACCGACTCATTCACGTCTTCTGTTCATTGACCTCATGGTTGTTATCGACATGCAGTGTAGAAGAACGGAGAGTACCGAGGTTCTGTCACTAGCCGCTACTAGTATACCGATCTTTTCGCTAACCTTCCAACAGTAACTTGTACCTATCACATCGGTGTGTAGCCGGCCAAAGGGGCAATGCTGCATTCTATTGGGCGAAATTCTAACCTATAGTTGGCAAATAAAACTGCACGAGGCAGCCAATAATGCACTACAGTTCCTCCCGTGATCAAAGCGGCTTATAAAATTATTCAGATGATGTCCAAAAGAAATATTTTAGTAAGGTTCAACCCTCATCCTTTCAACGGATCCTTTCAACGGATCCATTCAGCACGCTGTCAAGGTGTGAAAGATGTGAATAAACTATATATACATGCGTCTTCCCTTCCATCACTGCTGATCCCAACAGTTTCAATAAGTTGGCAGATAGGCTGGCAGACGTCACGCTAGCAGATAGCATAATTTTGTGCATCATGCTATCGATTATTGATCACCCTGCTTGTCTCTCAGCAGCCCACCGGGTGTAGCGCTGACGCCCACCGGTGATGCTCGGTGATATCATTCCAAGTAAGGCTGCCAGCGTCTGACGTGAGTTGGTTGGTTCCGACTGAACGGGTAACTTTAACACGAATTTCCAACTATTTGATGATTTCACACTTACATTAGAATGTGAATCGTGAAATCAAGTGACTGGGGGTTCATCACACCTGTGACCTTTCACTTACCTTGTCTTAGCGTCGCGTCGGCGTTGATAGGATCTTACGATAGTCTGATGGCTGCTCATGGCCATATTGAATGGTCTTATCTGACCGTTCTTAGATTAACGTCCGAAGTGGACGATTCGAATTGCACTACAATAAAGAAAGAATCGGTAGAATCGCAACAAGGCGTGAGGCCCCTGAGAGTATGCCCATAGTCGCCACCATTTCTCTACTTCTTCGTCAGCGTCAAATTCTTTTCCTTGTCAGCACACTGGTTTGTGTTACCCAGGTTGCCGGAGTCAATGTATTCCTTCCGCCGCATGCCACGCGCAAAGCGTCTTCCATCGAGGCACGCATTTCTCGATCTCATTCTCGTTTCTCCTGCTGCGGATCGTCTGGAAGATTAAATGTGCTGAATCAGACGAGAATAAATTTCAGTAGCGATTGCACGATCGTAGCGGATGTATTGGTAGGTGTGACGCAGGGGAAGGATCTGAGAGAGGTGCGCAAGGCCCAAAACAGCAGCATCTTCGACCTGAAAATGAATCGTGACTCATGGTCGCAAGGACACACGGAAACCACTTACGGCCATTGCAGACACTTGAGCACGTTGTGGCTTACCAGTCGGATGAGTTGGATGCCACTAAACGAACATCAGCAGACCTATAAGTATGAGCTTCTGAATGCTATTTCGATTCACGAGAGGAAGAATGTAGTGTGCGGTTGCTGAAAGGCACTTACTGGGACTCCTAGCCAGTAAACTCAGCCCTCATCTTGTCTGTGCTGCCCTTTGCAGTCTATGATTCCTCACCGCCGTCGTCAAGACGCACCATCACGAGATTATACTCTCTTTCAGAAGAATCAAACTCATACAATACTTACTATACGCCTTGATATGGCGGCGTGGACCCAACCATCCTACCATTTCAGATTTCTCAACCAAGAGCCGCAGGTCCAGGTCTTGTAGAGGTTTTTCTGTCAGGGTAATGACCATATACGCAGCATCTGCTGTGAGTCTGGCTCAATCTGGACCACCCATGAATGCATGACGTACTACTGCAAAGTACTTTTAACTCCGTTAGCACCGTGACTGATAACTAAATCAGCATTCACGACTTCGCCAGACTCGAGAGTAAGGGTGGGTTTTGTCCACGGAAACAAACCGACAATGAGTGCGAATGTTAGACTGAGGCTCCAATTCATACCATATGCAGTGAAAATCAGCACGCTATACTAAACTTTGTTAGCTTCACCACGAAAAGGGTAAAGCTCAAACTTAGCGTGGATGTGATAGTAACGGGGCCCCATAGCCCTTCTCTATAGTATTTTCCCACCTTGTCTATGTGAGAGTTTCGCTGGTAGACTCTATAAGGTGAGTAGTATATACGAACATGGACAAAATGACTCGCATCGCCTGAAATACGATGCTTCAAGCTTGACAGAAACTTCCTCGAGGCGTTTTTCAAACCCCAGCTAATCAGAAGGCGGGTCAGATTTGGGCCGACCCAGATACCAACACGATCGCAAGAGCGGCCTCGGGGATGGACACTTTACGACCAGCCTAGGAAAGACAGTGCGCAGCGGCGACATCACCAAGCCCACGTCTCACGACAACAAAACAACTTCTAAAGAAAGAGAAGCTCGACGTCTTTGGTGGAGCTTGCCGACCTAAAAATTCAAACCAGCCCAGTAACTGACGGACCACTGGGCACATACTGTTGCTGTTGGAGACTTGTTGCTCATTATGCTCTTGTTACTCCTTTGAGCCTTCGGAGACCCGAGCGGCAGTGACAAAAGAATCCATGCCATTAATTCAATGCAAGGGAAGGAGGTAGGAGTCCGTAGGACTGAGAGGCGTATCTACAGGTTATAGTTAATACCTGGAGTGACAGGTGGCCAGTGCTTGTTTCTACGGGTGTGAAATGTCTGTCAGTACTTTTGCCAGGTATAATCGGCCCTCAGCGCATAAAGTAAAGCCTAGCCAATCGATGGTGTCGAACCGAGGCTGGCAGGGCGAGAGTTAGCGAGTAGAGAGTAGTACTAACTATTTCAAGTATTTCGCAGTGACCTCTTGTGGTCCCTAACGCCTGGAATGATGGTTGTCTGCTGATATTGATCATTGGAATGTAGTGTACTACAAGCTTCAAGATTATTAGTGTTGCCAGCTGTACGGTATTAAACAGAGTACAATTTATAGTATTAATTTAACTCGATATTAATATTTAGTTAAAAGGATAGTAGAATGAAGTGGCGCCGTGGCGGTTAAGTTATCATCTTCTCAATCCAATTTTGTCTATACTGCAACAACTGGAGACCACATGTAGCGCTTAAATAGGATCTTGAGAGCTCGGTGATTTTTTTGGCTTTAAAGGGCTCCTGGACCGCTCACAATGTCGAGCTTATAGTCCAGAGGTAGTATTTGCCACAGTGAAATCTATTTAGAACAGGAAACCTTAGAATCCGACGCCGGGAGCACTCAGTTTTTCTGTGCTAGATGAGGCGCGTTAGCAGGAGTCTAGACTTTCATTTAGATTCAGCAGGGTCAACATCCCAGTCTGTGAAGAGCTGAGTCCCTTGACTTTCGACATCCCGATGTTCCGATCGCACCTGCTGATATCCTCGTGTTTAATATTAGGGAATTAAGCAGGTACTTAAACCCAAAGAACATACCGTAAGAACACACTGAGGAAAGGATCAATGGTCGTTGAATTTAAATTGTGCCTTTGAAACTTGACTGCAGCGACCATATGCATACGTAATGAATACGTATACGTTCCCAATTGGCTTGACTAAACTTTACCACCTTGGTCAGCTCCTGCGCCCATGAACAACCGTATCTCGCGCTCCGTACTGGAGGATAATCACAAAAGGCTTATTGATCAGTACAAAGCAAACCTTTCAGATGTATGTGCTATCCAATCAATCTTGAATGATGAGATCTTGTCCCATGTGGTCCAAGAATTGGCGCTCAGTGATGCGGACCATACATGGGCGAAGGAATGGATCTCGGATACAGGTGATTGTTGCAGCATCAAATCTGTGAAACCGTAAGTTGATCATGAACTACAGCAACCATTTTCCGTTTCTTACGGGTGAGTAAAATGCTAACCGGTTGCAGCAGCAAGTGTCTCCGCTAAAGCATGGCATGTAGCACCATAGCTTCGTCCGTTCATTCACATTGGAGGCCATATACACGGCACTCATTTGGCGTTTAAATGCATTGCGACTCTTCGCTCTCCCTTCTGCACTGCTTCATTGTCTTCCACCGCCGATCTGTGATCCACTTGGCCGTCCCCTCGTGTTTCTCCAGTTGTCAGAATTGCTGACTTGCGAGCAAACAATGATGGATGGGTTGCTGATCTCCCTCGAACGCCTGAGTATTCATCTCCGCTCACTCAATACTCTTAACGATGAGTTTGTGAACCGTGAAGTAACTCTTCAATGCGTTTTCGTCATCGACCTTGAAGGTCTATCAGTCCAGTCGGTTGTAAGTCAATACGCCTTGAGACCTAAACTTTTATTCAGTTCCGTGACAGAACCTTAAAATTTTAACATGGCTCATGAAAGAAGTAGTTCCCCGGTACCCTGGAATGCTTGGTGCAGGTAACAATGCATCGCTCTAATCATTTGCTACGATCAAACTCAATTTTGTTTTGTCTTAGTATTCTTCCTCAATTACTCTTGGACATATGCAATAACCTGGTCCATTATGAAGTGCGTTTATTCTAGAAACATTTTTTTGGTCTGTTTGACCAGAACCTAGGTCCCTGCTTCCTAAATCCGCGGTTGCCAAAGTCTTCTTTCCATCCAGGGAGGAGCTTCTTCGATATTGTTCTGCGTCAGCGCTACCATCTAGTCAGTCACACTATCTCGTTGCCTTACACACTTAGCAGCCATGCATTCGTCAGATTATGGCGGTGCACTTTTGCCACTCCACCTTATCGAAGATCCGCTAAATTCGCATGAGCAGAAAAATTGTGCTTCTGTTGCTTCACGTGAATGGTGCATGCCGGCGCCCAGCACCGGGCTTCCTGAGACCCTACACCGGCAGCCTTCGTCCGTAACCATACCTCCTCGATCCTCCTTCAACCCTTTCTTTGGTTATCCTTCAGTCGCTTCCTTCTCACGACCGCACACGGTACAACAAGGTCGCCGGCGGAAACGTGATCTGCTGTTGACCCTGTCAGTTCTCTGGTGGAAAAGATGGGGTACACGCGTCATGATAACACTCTATTTTCTTATCGTAGTCGGTCTTACACGCAGGAGAGTCAGGAGAGTAGCACGATGGATGCTTGGAGTAGCTCTACCTTCTGGTAGCGCCTTGCTTGCCATGACTTAGCTATGACTTAGCTTGTGATGGACCCGGTATGTCATTTCGGCGGTACTGATGCCATGCCACGCAACCAAGAAGTGCCGAGGTGTTTACATAACTTGCCTTGCATTCATCAATATTGATTAATCATTTTCAATCGGCGGAGAGACCCCTCGCTTCTCCGGTCAACATGCAGGCTCAGTCAGGCTCAGTCCTTGTTACTTTCGTAGCGACCCTACATTCTGGCACCCAGGAAAGGTCATCCGCAAGATTAATAGCGTGATGCTGACACATCATGTGGGGTATAGTAAAGTAGCATCGTACTAGTGTCGTCCGCACAATACAGGTTTACACCTACTTGCTACAGCTTGGGCGCCAAAACCGCCGCCGGCAGTACTCGGTTTCTATCAAAAATGTTCAAGAGTAGTAACTTGTTGAGATCTAGAGGAAGTACTCGGGAAGCTAGGTGGAGCAAACATTCGTGTGAGTAAATCGGTCTATTCAAAGAAAACACGGAGCAAGAGATGATCGCAGGAATAGCGACGTACCTTCCCACCAACATTCTGTGGAGCCTGTTGACTCGGACCATCGCGTTCGTTCTCCGGGGCAGCTTCGAACACATTGAAATACATGCTCTCGCCAGGACCCACCTCGAGTATACTCGCGGAATTGCCGCAACGATAACAATAGTTAGGCGCCGACCAGACCGTCGAAAGGTGTTTGTCAAATAATGACGAATAACCTTCCATGCAGAGTTGATGTGCGCGCAAGATATGCGACATGTTGTTCGTTTCCAAGAACTTGTGTACAACGCCTGATCCAAACGTGTAGCCAGCACCTCTACATGATCCGTTCCAGATTGAAACATCAGACACAATACAAGCGGAGTAATGATAAGCCTCATTAGTCAATAACGCTAGTGATATGCTAGAGTAGGCACGGACCTTGGGGATATTGCAAAGTCTTCTTTCTCTGCATCCGGATCCGACCACACCAAATCAGCCATAGGACCCTCGTGTGGAATTTCTGGACGAAATGAGGGTGGGCAGCAATGAACGGGCGGGGGTAACGTACCTCTAAATCGATCTACAACTTTGATTTGATCTACGGAGTGGATAGACGGCGAAAGACCTGAGACGGGGAAATGATCAGATCGTGATACTGTGAAAGAATGGATTGCTGATGACCTCCATGAACGCAGAATATCCGATCATCGATTACCACAGACAGGGTCAAGAAGTCGAACATGTCCGTGAAATAGGTCCATACATGTGATGAGCCGTATTTTCGCACACACTCCGTATAAAACCCATAAGTCTAAGTTAAACATTGAGCGATAAGGGAGCTCCATAACATCATGAATTGATGGCTGACTTGTGTTACAGCCCTTGATTCATGGTTGCCACGAATTAACTGGACTCTGTCGGGGTAGCGCAGCTTAAGACACGTAAGGAGTGATATGGTCTCCACACTGAACAGGCCACGATCGACGTAATCCCCTGGGGCACTATGAGAAAAGGGAAGTGTGTTCTAACAGGAAGAATGGAACTCGCCAAGGAAAAGATAATTGGTGTGAGGAGCATAGCCACCTATGCGGAATATTTCGATGAGGTCGTAGAACTGACTTGAGTTCTATGATGAAATGTTATGGAGTGATTGAAGCTGGGAGATACTCACCCGTGTATGTCTCCAACGACCGTTACTGGTGCACTGACATGGACCACATTGGATTCCCTCATGAGAACTTCTTTCGTTTTTGCACATATTTCACGTAAAAGGGCCTCATGTAAAAGCTGTTTGCGGAGCAGTTGCTGTATACACGCGTCGAGATCGAAGGGGGCCATAATTCTGCGGTCTCGTGCTCCAAGTGATTTCAGGAAAGGTTAGTCACAAGTCACAGATCCATCCCTTTGTGCATGTTTGGGTTCCCACCACGGTCTCGAAGTCGCCATACTTAGGACCATAGCACCTACGCAGTTCAAACAAAGTTTCGACTATCAAATTGATCGCGCTCCTTGGCACTCTGAAGACCCGTGTACTCGGTCAGCAGTGGATTATGGGTAAGGTTAAGTTTGCGAGTGGTCAGGCCTGGAAGGACGGAGATTTTCTCTCATGGTGCCTGTGTCCGAATTTGCACAAGCCACAAGCCCATTTTTACGTTGGCGTTTCAAGCTTGGCCATGGGCGATCCTGACACTAGCGCTTTGATTGGTGGAAAGGGCCTCGGCTAAACGGCATATTCCCTTGAAATGTCCCACCAGGTTCAAAACTTAGACTGAGGGTCTCCTGATCGCGTCCTCGAGGTATTCGCGTGTCTAATGAAAACTTACCGTTCCAGTAGATTGGCGATTGGCGCTTGGCGCTTGCCGGGGAGGCACGCTGCGGGGAGGTAATATACTGGTAGTAGCTCCACTGTCAGATTATATTCCGAACTTGTGCTTTTTATTTTATTTTTGTCGACTTCTCCGAGCCGTGTGGTGCATCTCTGTGTAACGTCCCAATGCTGAAACCGAACGGTGATTCACCGATGTCTGTTTCATCCGAGGAGATAGACGAGCGCTGGTTTCAATGGTGCAATATGACTTGTTGAGGGCAGCCAAGCTTCTGGCTCCGAGTAGATGATTATCATGCCAATGCAGTGGACGAATCGCCCTTAACAATGACCTCGCAATATTTTAGGCTACCGTCGGTGCCGAAAAGGAAGACGCCTTCCCGAGGACAAGAACACGTGGGCAGTGTGATTCTTCATTTGCAGGCATCAGTCTGAGAATGTTCTACTCTCCCTGCAGGTCGGTCACGCTCTCGAAGATGCATGATGGGAAGTTTCATCGCCTTTATAGTGACCTGACGTGTCATCCCGCTCTCTGGTTTGGTCATCCATCTTCCTCCTACAACGTCATTCTCGAAGTTGTGGAAATCCGCAAGCTCTTGTCCCGGCGTTTTGTCAACGTGCAATATAGGCATCTCGTTAATTTCGATCTTCGGGCGACATTGTTCGGGATGGACCCTACTAGGCGTAATCATTCCAGCACAGCTGCTAACCAATCCAAGACTGTGTTCTGTGATTGGTCACCTATTTCACGAGGCTGGGATTTCCCGACTAGCTAACGTTCCAACAGGGTCTAACAACAAAAGGTATGGTGACTGACCCAAGTCGCTTCCTTTCAATGGGTTATCTGACAACCCGTCCCGTAGCATGAGTCCCCTTGGAGAGTGACATCAATAAACATTCAATACTACACTTCTTAAGGGTCATCTGCTCGTATGTAATGGATCTTTCCGCTTAGCGTTAGATGAAACCAGCATGTCCATGACAAGTTGCTGCACAAGGGCTGCCACTAATTTATGCCTTACGAGAGAACTCGGCAGATCCGACTCGATTTAAAGCCAACTGTCCAGGAACGCACGCTCCGCAAACTCTCTAGCCTCGTGATCTGCCCGCAGCGATCTTCTGCAAACCTGCCGTTCTCTACAAATGGAGGAGTTCTCGTTCTGAGCTCACCACACAGCTTTCCTCGGTGAGACCCCGTATCTATCCAATCTTGTCTGTTCTAATTTTTTTCCATTGTTCCTTCTATTGCTCCACCCGCTCCCGAGGTGGTATGTACCTTCGTTGAACCTTCTTACCTGACGGAATTTAGTCTCCCGGATAATGAACTTCCAAGACCGTAATGTCAATCATGATTAGTGCATTCCGCCCACATGATCTTGTCCCTATCATGCTTGCAAAATTGATCTGGGCCTTCCACAGAATATCTCTTGATGCCGGAGTCATACGCAGCCTAAGTTAACTCTTTCATACCGGAATTACGCTCTGGGAAGTAATGATTTAGTAACCGATCTACTCATTCATTAAGGTACGTTGTCACCCTGATATGACAGGCGACACCCGAGTACTTTCACTGCAAAAATGTATATAAGGGCTCACCAACTACAATAGCTGGGAAGTCTTTACTGTTAGCCAAACCTTCCTTGCACGATGCAGTATCCAAATGCGTACTCCCACAACAGTCACCATCAGACACAACAACCACATGTCTCTGCCCACCATCCTCGACAATCTTCTTCGAGCTCGAACAGTAACACCTCCGCATATCCCCAACAAGCACAGGTGTTATCGGGCTACCCACTTGACAGTACTTTGTCCGATGGCATAATAGGTATATTAATGTCACTGAACGGCGCTTTTATTGGTAGTTGACATTCTTCAACCAGGAAATCACCACACTGGTAATCCATTGCAACCCCCTCCTTTCTCCAACCATCCGCAGCACGGGACGTCACCTGCCATGGATACTCGCAGGTCTTATTATGCTCCTCCTCCTCCTGCACCAGCGAACCAGCCTAATACTTACTATCCCTCGCATCATCAGCCGTCTGCGCCAAGTCCCCAATATGCGGTACACTCCCATCCGCATATCGATCCTCAGACTCTACATGCTCATTCAGGATCCCAACACTTCATCCCGACACCATCGCAGACGTACCAAGTATATTCCAACACTGTGCCATCGAACCCACGGTCCCGTTCCACCGTCGAACCATACTATCATATGTCGCCCAATCCCCAACACACCACCCAAGGCAGCTCACCCCCGGCTGCGCCACGTTCTACGCACACATCCCCCTCCGCCAACCCGGCACTTATTGGAGACCGGTTTCCCTGTGAGCTCTGCGATAGGTCGTTTACTCGCTCGCATGATAGAAGGAGACATTATGAGACCGTCCATGCTGCAACCCCCGTCCTACATCGATGTCGTTACTGTGGGAAGGATTTCAGTCGCGCGGACTCACTTAAACGCCACATCGATAATGGATGCGACGAGATGTCGCACAAATAGATTTGGAAATGACTTTTTGTTTATCTTCCAACCCAACCTTTAACCATCCAAGCATTGTCCTAATTATTCATTTGAACATTACCTCCGCTACGTTAACCCATCATGCCATATAATTCTCCGCAGTCCGTCCAATGCTTGGAGCGTGCTTGTACTTATGTGTATTTTTAACTACTGCACTAGACTCGGAAGGATCCTCCAGTAGCCCTGCGTTTAACTGGTACACAGTTGCTAAATATGACGCGATGCATAGTGTAATCCCTCACACACAAACACTCTCAAATCGCGGATTCCCCGGTACTTCATGAGAGTATGATATTCCTGACTAGAGCGCCCACGGCTACATTGGGTGACCGATATCAAGGCCTAGAATTCCAGTCTGCACATCACATTTGGATCATATCTCCGACCGACGGTACTTGTTTAAGAAATAGCTAGTCATCGTGATACGCAAACGGACTCGGACAGCCTGCTGATCACCCATGGATCAATTGATCACGCTGGGTTTCGTCTGGTGTATCAGTGATCAGTGGAGCCATTCATATATATTGATGAAAGGTACTTTTTCCCTTATTGACTGCCTTGGACGCGGGAGCCCGGCAAGTATTGGTCATGTCACCTAGTTTTTGGAGAGAGGCTGCCATTTTTGCGTAGGCGCCGAGGGAGCTCTTTGCAATTGCTGTGTCTATCCGATCATATGATAGGACGATATTCCACAGGGCTATGCGGGACCGGAACGATCGCATTACTGCATGGTGCATCTGCAACCGAATCGAAATAAGGATTCAGTGAGCAGAAAGCCACCCGAGGACCTCGGGTGGGACTACCCACATATGCAAGTCTATCTGAAGAACTTGGTAAGAAATAACGTCATGCTGTTCGTATGACATGTTTGTTTTTCGAAGAACCGTCTCGCGACATTGCGGATCCGCTTCCGGGACCTGAAAAACAAGTTCAATGTCATCAAACGCGGTGCCTGTTCCATCAGAAACCAAGCGAAATAGCTTGGCAGAAGATTCACGACGGAAGGAACCACAAGTGATAGCAGCCCACGTTGACGGATGAAAAAATATGAATGACACTTCTGGTGGTAGGCTCACAAAGAACGCGGCACGCGCTGATGCACGTATGAATAATCAATGCATTGACATGGATCTCAATCATTATCATCGTCACCTGAGTCACTGTCTCTGCTTCTGTTATCAACTAAGCCCTCAATTTCGACCCCAGGATTGTCATCTTCGACGTGAGCATCGTCTTTTTCTGCGCGTTTCTTGTTCAATTTGTCGATGATTTTGTCAGCACGATTGAATATTCCACCCGTGGGGGCGCCGCATGCTAAGCACTTTGGAGTTTTGGCATAGCGCTTGATTGCGCAGGCCGAACAATAATAATGCCCGCACCGCGTGGCCACTGGATCTGTATAAGGTTTGCGGCAGATGAGACAAGCGAAAGGTATGTCCTCGTTGTCAGAATCGGAGTCTGACACATCCTCGACTTGTTTCCGCGGGGTTTCAGCGAGTTTATCCAATTGCCAACCAGCAAGATCTGTCCAAAGTATTTGTCTTTAGTTTCTTTAAGCGTAAAGGCTATGCAAACATACATGTGCCACGGTCGTGCAAGAATTTGCAAGTGTCACCAAACCCGCAGTACCCCGTTTCTGATTGGGATGATCGTTTTAGCATCCGTATCCGTCGGAGAAAAAACTTACGAACCTTTATAGTCTTTGCAAACATCGGGCTGATAATCGACAATGGTTACAGTACGAATGGTGCTAGTACCTCGCTGAGGACCAACACGCATAGCTTTGGGTACTTCCTGACTTTTTTTCAGGTGACTTCGATAAGCATTCTGGCCCCTATACAGCCCATCATCAGGTACTTCCTCTTCCTCTTCACCTCTGTCTGCTTTCTCTTTCTTCTGACGTTTTGCAAGTAGCTCCGCGGCTTCGTCACCAGCTAATATCTCAAGTGCTGCGTTGGTGTGTGATCCGGCTGCGGTCCACTT